TTAGTATATATCATATTATAGAATACGTTATATCCCATGGAATATAGTTAGTATATATCATACTGTAGAATACTTTATATGCCATGGAATATAGTTAGTATATATCATACTGTAGAATACTTTATATCCCATGGAATATAGTTAGTATATATCATATTATAGAATACGTTATATCCCATGGAATATAGCTAGTATATATCATACTGTAGAATACTTTATTTCCCATATAGTTTAGCTAGTACATGTATATTTTATTTTGTAATTGATTTTTTTTACAGTAACTCAGTGAAAATGAAGCTGCCAATCCAAACTGTGGTTGTCAGCAATACTATGCATTCCATGGAAATCACAAAAGTCATGTTCCCTGATTTTATGGATCAACAAAAAGATAAGGAGCAACAACCATTATCAGATTGTAAAAATATATAGGGACAAGAATTAAAAAGATTATAGTAATCCATTCATAGTATCTAAACAGTAATTATCGAGGAGTTCCCATGGTGAGTGTTATCAGCAGAAACACAACATTTAAATTAACTTTCTTTTTCTAATTTCAAATCAAAAATACTGATCTCAACACATGAGAATCATCAATTACACTACATGCACTGAATCACAATTAATCTAATAAACAAACTCAAGAACACTATCTCACTTATTTTGTTTGCTGAGTCTGCTTGAACACATGATCTATTGAATGGAATAAAAGACTACAATGTCATGTTATGTCATGTTATGTCATGTCAAGTCATGTCATATATCATATCACATCATATATACACTGGGTTTAATTTTAGAAGATTTTATGTTTCATGGATATTCAGTGTTTGTATAGGAAACAATAAATTCTATTATAGTTAATTTTAACTGGGTTATATTTTAACATATTTAGCCTCCAACAAAATATAAAATCTAGTGAACAATAAAGTGTTAACATAAGAATTTATACTTACATCTATCACAACTTCACTGCTAAAAAACACTGGTTTGGCTTTGGCAAGATACATGAGACTGAGATAGGCAGTGATGTCAGGCTTGGCTCGATTAGTTCTAAGACTTTTAATACACCCACATAATAAGCCATCAATTCTCTCATCGTCTCCAACACCTTCAGATTCTAAAACTAAATCAATCAACTCCACAGATGGCACTAGAAACAAACAATTTTTAAACCAATCAGAGTTATGGGCATGGTAATTGTAAGAAATAAATATGTCAATGGGTTAATTGCAATATCATGCATTGGATTGGTTGCTATGGGCAATGGTTGTATACTGTAAAACTAATGGTTTGCAAAGAATAACATTTATGCATATTAATGAGGTCACATGTCCCCCCAAAACAAACTTAAAACACATATTCGGAGTAAAACAAACTTAAAACACAAATTCCCAGTCAAAAATATTGTTTTCCATTCAGAATGAAGTACATATTAGGGCCAAACTTCTATCTCATGATGCATTGTAAAATCACAAAAAAATTGAATATGTATCAAATCAAATCATAAAACAAAGAAATTTGCCACAGTAGCGCAAATACATGTATATGTGATAAACATACAAAGTTTGACTGAAATCAGCGTGTGTTCATTGTATTTCAGAAAAACAAGTTGTTTAACCAAGCATATGACAATACACTATATGACCTCATCGATGCATTCGTCATTGCTAGTAGCAGGTCAGTATTTTTTCTTTTTTTGTTACCGTACTTTGACTATTTGCAGAACAGTATCATCAGATTTTAAATACCACAAATAAGTTATGCAGTAGAATCATTACTGTTTTCCATCTATGTGTAAGTTCTGTCAAGTGTATTTCAAGCCCTGGAATTGGAATACACAATCTCGAAAATCTTGAATGCAAATACTTCAACACATACATTGTAAGTACATGTACATGCATCTTATGCTAAATATGCTACCACATACCATTTGAATTCACAATAAACTTCAGTCTATAATTACTATACAGAGAACCTAAATTTATTGAAATTTCAAGCTGCACATTGGTTGTTAATTCATTCATTCAGTCATTCAAACATGGTTCATAAACTACAGACACGTACCAGATATAGCAATAGCATCAGGATTTGTACCAGTATCAGTTTCCAGTACTTCTCTGCTGCCTCCAGCACCACTACTAGTTCTACCCAATGGCGTAAACGTTTGCGAACCAAATTTGGCTTTCTTTACTGGCGGTGTAAACGAAGAAGGAACATCTCTTTTTCGTTCTCCCGATAATTTTTGTGAAGATACTGGTTTGATTTCAGGTAATTCTGGTACAATTGGTCTAGATTTTGCACCGAGAGCAATGAAATCTCCAGGTGGTGGATGACCTGTTGAAACAAATGTGGGAAAGGAAAAGTTTACAATGGAAATCAAAATAACCTGACCATTTCTAGTATGTGCTAATAGCAGAAACACTTGTCATACACATGGACCAAACATACTACATGACCCTTTCTTGTATGTGCTGTCTGTGAAAATACTGCTGCATTGTTTGTTTGGTGCAGGCATGAATATTTTCCACAGACATTTTATGTTGTTAAATCTCACTTAATTACCACGACATGAAGGAAAAGATGTACAATAATAATGTTATCACAAGAATGTTTACGTTTTACGTTTATAGAAACACTTAAAATTCCTCAGAAGGAATTAAAATGGTTACACTAACTACTAGAACACATATTTAAAATATACAAATTTTACAAAAATTATTATCTAAAATACGACAATGTTTAAAAAAAAAACTACAATTAAAAACATAGTTGAACTCTGGTGACCTTGCCCTTTGTTATATAATATAATTCCCTTTATCATATTTGTTTCAATATAAATATGCATTGTCATAATTAATTTTGAATACAAACAAGTTTTGGGGTTGAACCAACAGTGGGGAATCAGTCTACCGAATGTCCTTTAAAGATGTAAATATCTTACAAAAAGATTGGTGCCTTATTTGTTTAATTATTTTAAGGGACATAATTTCCAGCTTTATTCAAAGTAATTCAGATATTTTAGTATAAAAACAAATGTCTCATCGCCAAAAAAAAGTGCTGCATTTAGAGTGAATAGATTCATGAAACATGCAAGATAACAGAAAAACTTAGCTGGCTTTTGTCCAAGTATTTTGTACAGGTGTCTGTAAAAAATTAATTGTTCACTGAGACAAATATGAATTGCCTCATTGTGTGACTACTGTATTATATGAAAATTAAAAAAACGCCCTTTATGAATAGCTATCATGTTGCAAGCTCTGCTTTAGTATGCAAATCAACTTAAGTAG